GGCATTGGGGGCGTTGGGAGGGGGATATGGGGGTGCTGGGGGTGGCAGTGGGGGTGCACTGGGGGCAGGGCGTTCCTGTGGCTGAGCTGGGGGTGCAGCAGCCCCGCCGTGCCCCCCCAGACTGGCACAGCACGGGGGTCTCGGTTCCCTGCAGCCCCCAAAGAGCCCCAGGGGGACCCCACGGCCCCACCCCGCCACCTCCTGCGGCCCCCGGGAGCGTTCGGACACCGCGGCAGGGGCTGGGGGCACCTCGGACACCCCGGGCAGGGACAGCGGGACAGCCACCCCCAGTGGCGACAGGGGGGACCCCCCCGCGGCCCCCCCGCTGCGCCCACCCACTGCTGCGGGACCGGCTGCCCCAACTGCGTCTGGGTGGGATACGTGGAGGAGCTGCTGCAGCGGCACCGGGACGGCGGAGCCCAGGCCCTGGCGGCCGTGGAGCAGCACGTGGAGGACGAGAACATCAAAATGATCCTCAGGATGGAGATCAGGCTGCGTGCCAGGAAGGACTGAGCCTCCCGCGGGCTCCCCAGATGGGTGGGGGATGCCCCTGGGGGGACAGGGTCTGAGCTGGGGGGGTTGGGAGTGTCTGTTGTGTGCTGAGCGCGGCACCCCGGGGGTGTCACGCGAGGTTGGGTCACCTCCTGTCTCAGAGGGAGCTGTCCTTGGGGACAGGTGGTGACTCAGGGCTGTCCTGAGCCCTGGATTTCCCGGGAGCTGGATGCTGTGCCCTCCCCAGCATGGCAAATCCCTGCCAAGGGCAGCCTGGCCGGCCCCCAGCCCTCCTCCTCCTCCTGTGCTCCCAGCTGGAATTTAAGCACCTTGGGGGGATTTTCAGCACCTTGGCCATGCCCTGGTGATGGGGGGGCCAGACCCCTCCCCACTGACACCACAAAGCCTCTTAGGGGCCTCTCCGTGGGGCTCAGGGGGCAGCGTGTGGCACCAGGCACATGGGAAGCAGCAGCCTCCTGTCAAGGACACTCCCTGGTGTCACATCCTGCCGGGCTGCTCACCAAGGTGCCTTTTCTGCCTCCATCTTAAATCCCCAGAAACTTGTCCCAGGCTTGGCCCTCCATCCTGGGGGACTCGCAGCTGTTGAGACCCACCCAGATCCCCCCACGTCATCGCAGGACAAGGTCCCCAAGAAGCCACCCAGCCCTGGAGTGTCACCCACTAATGAACCCAAATTAACAGCCAGCCTCTGCTCTCTGCCAAGGAAGTAGGTGCTTCTCCATGGAAAACACTCCTGCGTCCCTTTAATCCTGTTTGTTGGAGCCCAACTAATTGCAATTAGTGGCAGGGGCTGAAGTTCAATTAAAGTGTGCCGAGATTAGTCCGTTTTTAATTGCTTTAGTGCTGGATTAGGGAAGCTTTGGAGCAACAGCAGCCATGGGCAGGGGCTGCTGGACCCTCTCTGGGGCCAGGACCCCCACCAGGCTGGGCTGGAGACTGGGATGGGGGTCCCATCGCTCCCTGTGGGATCAGGGGACGCTGGAGGGGAATGGGATCCCCCTGGGGGGAGGCAGGATTCCCCCACGTGGGATCCACTGCCCACCGGCACGGGCAGGGCTAATCCCGACACCTCCTGCCCCCCGAGCAGGTGAAGGACACCGGATTACCCCTGGGGAAAGCAGGGAGGTAAATAATCCTATTACCCCCGGGCAGGATAAATCTCCCTCCCCGAAAAGCCCCCAGAGCATCTCCAGGCCGGAGGGAGCCGGGCTGGGCGGAGGGAGCAGCTCTGGAGCCGGGAATCGCGGCACTCTGTGAGTCAGGGGAGGGGACACGGGGTTGGTTGCTGCTCTTCCAGCACCCAGGGACAGCCAGGAACATCTCCCTGGCTTGGTGTTCCCAGAGCTGTGTCCAGCTCTGCAGCAGGGCCAGATCCCTGACATGATCCCAGAGCTGCAGAATTCCCGCTCCTGGTGCCATGGGCCACCCCCTGCTCCCCCTTCCCAGCCTGGGGTCCCCACACAGACCTGGGCACGCCATGGAGGGTCCCGGCAGTGCCCTGAGGGGTCCCGGGGTGTCACACCCACGCTGGGGAGGGGGACAGGGGAGGGAGGAGCGGCAGCAGCCCTGGTGGCCCTCGGGGTGCCCTTCCCTGCCTTTGGGGTTCACGCTGAGCTGGGCTGAGCCAGCCTTGTGGGGAGGGGGCTCTGCAAAGCCCAGCAGGGCCGGGTGGGAGGAGAAGCTGGTGGCCCCATTTCCCTCCAGCGGGTGTGAGGAGCTGTCCTGTGCCAGCGCTGAGCCCCGGGGAGCGCCGTGAGCCCCGGGGAACACTGTGAGCCCCCAGGGAACCAGGGAGCACCGTGAACGCCGTGAGTCCTGAGGAGCACCGTGAGCCCCAGGGAACACCTTGAATCCCAGGGAGCACTGTGAGCCCCAGGGAGCACCGTGAGCCCCGGGGAACACCGTGAGACTCGAGGAGCACCGTGAGCCCCGGGGAACGCCGTGAGCCCCCAGGGAACCAGGGAGCACCGTGAGCCCCAGGGAACACCTTGAATCCCAGGGAGCACTGTGAGCTCCAGGGAACACCTTGAATCCCAGGGAGCACTGTGAGCTCCAGGGAACACCGTGAGCCCCCAGGGAACACCGTGAGACCAGGGGAACACCGGGAGTCTCGAGGAGCACCGTGAGACCGGGGGAACACCGTGAGCCCCAGGGAACACTGTGAGTCTCGAGGAGCACCGTGAGCCCCAGGGAGCACCCTGAACCCCAGAGAACACTGTGAGCTCCAGGAAGAACAGTGAGCTCCAGAGACCACTGTGAGCCCCAGGGAGCACCCTGAACCCCAGGGCTGCTGGTCCCCCACAGCCATGAGCCTGGAGCCCCCCAAGCTGGAGGTCAAATCGGCCACGAGGGTGAGCGGGGGTCCTGCCACCCCCCGCAAGGGACCCCCCAAGTTCAAGCAGAGGCAGACGAGGCAGTTCAAGAGCAAACCCCCCAAAAAGGGGGTGCAGGGGTGAGTGGGGAAGGGCCCTGGGATGGGGTGGGGGGGCCTGTATGGGGTCAGACCAGACAATTCCTCTTTCCTTGCAGGTTTGGTGACGACATCCCAGGCATGGAGGGGCTGGGAACAGGTATGGGAATGCCATCCCTTTGGCAGTTGGGGGGCAGGGCCTGGGGGGTCACACTGCCACAAGCTCTGTCCTCTCTCTCCTCAGACATCACTGTCATCTGTCCCTGGGAAGCCTTCAGCCACCTGGAGCTGCACGAGCTGGCTCAGTACGGAATCATTTAGGATTTGGGCAGGCTCACCTGCCCTGTAGTGCTGTGTAGGTCAAGGCCCCCCTGCCCATGCTGGGGAGGGGTGGATCAGCTTGGAAAAACGCTCATTAAACTCTAACGAGCACAGGAGTCAGTGTTGTGGCTGGGGAGGAGGGAGAGCAGCTCCCCAGGGCCTGGGGTGGGCTGGGCAGGACACGGATGGGCTCAGGATTCTGACAAGCGTTATTTGGGGCTGGACTAGCACCCCCAAAATCCCTGCACAGCCTCAGCAGCAGTCGTGACGGCAGCACAGACAAGACCCGGATGTGTTCAGGACTTTTGACAGGGTTTATTTAGGACCAAACCCCTGCATATCCTGATCCACACACTGTCCTCACTGCCACCCCTCACAGCCATGATATCCCCGAGCACCCTCAGAGCCAGGAGCGCTGCCAGGGCCTCCAGCAGCAGCAGGGCGCCGGCCCCGCTCCCCAGGGCCTGGGCTGGGACAAGCAGGACACAGATGGGCTCAGGACTTCTGACAAGGTTTATTTGGGGCTGGACCAGCACCCCAGACATCCCCAAAGCTGCAACGTGCCTGCACACCCTCAGCAGCAGCACCAGTGGCAGCACAGACAAGACCCAGATGCGTTCAGGATTTTTGACAGGGTTTATTTAGCACCAAACCACCCCCTGTGTATCCCAATCCCCATGCTGCCCTCAGTGCCACAACCAGGAGCACTCCCATGGCCTCCAGCAGCAGCAGGGCACTGGCCCTGGCAGGGATGGCCCCGGCCTGGCCCCAGCTCTCAAGAGCCTGGGGTGGGCAGGATACAGGTGGGTTCAGGATTCTGACAAGATTTGGGACTGGGCCAGCACCCCAGACATCCCCAAAGCTACAACGTCCCTGCACAGCCTCAGCAGCAGTGGTGGCGGCAGCACAGACAAGACCTGGATGTGTTCAGGACTTTTGACAGGGTTTATTTAGCACCAAACCACCCCCTGTGTATCCCAATCCCCATGCTGCCCTCAGTGCCACAACCAGGAGCACTCCCATGGCCTCCAGCAGCAGCAGGGCACTGGCCCTGGCAGGGATGGCCCCGGCCTGGCCCCAGCTCTCAAGAGCCTGCGGTGGGCAGGATGCAGGTGGGTTCAGGATTCTGACAAGATTTGGGACTGGGCCAGCACCCCAGACATCCCCAAAGCTACAACGTCCCTGCACAGCCTCAGCAGCAGTGGTGGCGGCAGCACAGACAAGACCTGGATGTGTTCAGGACTTTTGACAGGGTTTATTTAGCACCAAACCCCTGCATATCCCGATCCCCACACTGCCCTCACTGCCACCCCCTCACAGCCATGATATCCCCGAGCACCCTCAGAGCCAGGAGCGCTGCCAGGGCCTCCAGCAGCAGCAGGGTGCTGGCTCCGGCTTCCCAGGGCCTGGGCTGGGCCAAACAGGACAGAGATGGGTTCAGGATTCTGACAAGGGTTATTTGGGGCTGGACCAGCACCCCAAACATCCCCAAAGTCCCTGCACACCCTCAGCAGCAGTGCTGATGCCAGCACAGACCAGACCCACAAAGATCCAGGATTTTTGACAGGGTTTATTTAGCACCAAAGCCCTGCATACCCCAATCCCCACGCTGCCCTCACCGCCACCCCCTCACAGCCATGATATCCCCGAGCACCCTCAGGGCCAGGAGCGCTGCCAGGGCCTCCAGCAGCAGCAGGGCGCCGGCCCCGCTCCCCAGGGCCTGGGGTGGGACAAGCAGGACACAGATGGGTTCAGGACTTTTGACAAGGTTTATTTGGAGCTGGACCAGCACCCCCAAAGTCCCTGCACACCCTCAGCAGCAGAGGTGACAGCAGCACAGACCAGACCCACAGACACATTCAGAACTTTTGACAAGGTTTATTTAGCACCAACCAGGCAATCCCCACGCTGCCCTCACCACCACCCCCTCACAGCCATGATATCCCTGAGCACCCTCAGGGCCAGGAGTGCTCCGCCCTGCCGCAGCGGCTCCCGGCAGCAGGAGGCCGGCACGCCGCACGCCCGCGCGCCCGGGGCGCTGCAGTTGAAGTACCTGTGGGGTGGACACGGAGATGGGGGGTCACACACGTTTGGGGTGTGGGATGGGGTGTGCCACCCCCCCAGCCACAGAACTGGGCACCGGGTGTGGGCTCCAGCTCATCCCTCTGCTTTCTGGGCCGTTCTGGGGATCCCACCACCCCAAACATGAGTGCCTAGCACAGACCCCACAAGGAATTGGGGGTTTTCAGCCTCATGGAGAGCATGGGGTGCCACAAAGGAGGTGTTCAGCCCCGTGGGGGGGCATGGGGCCCCACAAAGGAGACTGTCAGCCCCGTGGTGGGGATGGGGTCCCACAAAGGAGGTGTTCAGCCCCGTGGGGGGGATGGGGTCCCACAAAGGAGGTGTTCAGCCCCGTGGAGGGGATGGGGTCCCACAAAGGAGACTGTCAGCCCCGTGGGGGGCATGGGGTCCCACACCCAACAGGGTTTTCAGCCCCATGGTGGGGATGGGGTCCCACACCCAACAGGGTTTTTAGCCCCGTGGTGGGGATGGGGTCCCACAAAGGATGGTTCTTAGCCCCATGGTGGGGATGGGGTCCCACAAAGGATGGTTCTTAGCCCCATGGTGGGGATGGGGTCCCACAAAGGATGGTTCTTAGCCCCATGGTGGGGATGGGGTCCCACAAAGGAGGTTCTCAGCCCCATGGGGGGCATGGCCTCCCCCCCTGTCCCCCAGCCCCGACTCACGGGTTGCTCTCCCAGTCGCGGTAGGACTCGAGGCCGCAGCACTGGAGGTTCCTCTGCACCTCATCCAGCAGGAACTGCAGGTCGGGGTCCTCCTGGTAGCGCAGGAGGCAGAGCAGCAGCAGGTCCCGCAGCGCGTCCCGCAGCCGCCGCCGCAGCAGCAGCAGCAGGAGCCCCCCCAGCAGCTCCAGCCCCCCCAAAGCCAGCACGGCGCCCAGGAAGAAGCGCAGCAGGCAGGGGCTGGCTCGTAGGGCGCCCAGGCAGCCAGCCAGGGACACGCTGCTGGCCCCCAGCCCCACCAGCACGAAGAGCAGCATGGGGTCCGAGCCCAGGAGCGCCCCACGCTCCCCCCCAGCAAGGGGGATCTTGGCCAGCAGCCCCCAGACCCCCACAGCAAGGGTCAGCAGCCCCAGCAGGAGGAAGAGGAGGTTCCAGAGGATGGCCAGGTAGCGCACGCAGCGGCTGAAGGGGCTCGGTTTGGGGGGGTCGGGGTACCACACCCCAGCATCCTGCTGAGCCGTGTCATCATCATCATCATCATCATCACCATCAAAGGAGGAGTAGGGCAGCTCCACCAGCCTGGTTGCCTGCACGGACAGAAGAGCCACTCACAGCCCCCAGGAATGTTCTTGCAGCCCACAGCCAGACGCTGCCACGGGCTCCTAGAGCCACCCTACACAGCCTTGCTTAGCCCCGAACCCAGCCCTGCTCATCACGGGGGTCTGCGGGGAGCACCCCAAAGACTCTGACCCTAAGGGACCCCCAGATCCGTCCCTGTGGAGACCCCCGGGGATTCAGCGCGCTGCTGCCCAGGGGTGGGGGGCTGCGGGGTGCTCGGGTAAGGGGTCCCGGCATTACCTGGGGCAGCAGCCGGGTGCCCTCCCCGTGGGGCTGGAACAGGCGGACTCTGCTCAGCGCCATCGCCGTTCCCTCGTGCCCGGACCCGTCACACTCCTATCATGTGAGGGGCTGCGGGCGGGCTTAAATGGGGCTGCGTGTGCCGCCCCACAGCTGGGCACGATCCCCCTGCCCTCCCACGGGCACAGCTAGCCCCGATCGCCCCCTCTCCACAGCTGGGCCCGATCCCCCCCTCCAACACCGCGGGGCCCCTCCGAGACCACCGGGTGCGTGCGGAACTAAAGAGCGAGCTCCGCGGCGGGAGGGTACACTTTTATAAGCAGCACCGAGGCAGCATGGGGGACCATTATGGCGGTGACACCGAGGCAGCACGGGGGGACGACTGGTGGTGACGCCGCAGCAGATTCCTGTGGGGCCGGGACGGGGCCCCGGGCCGGGGGGCCGCGGTGTGCGGGCCGGGCGGCTCCCCGGGGTTTGCCCCGCGGGGCCGGGGCCGTGAGCCCGCGGTGCCGCTCAGCCGGGGGGCGCTCGGGGCTGCTCGCTCCGGTGAATGAACGGCTCCCCGCTCCGGTGAGCGGCTCCCGGCGGGCTGTGCCCGGGAGGGAAGTCGGGAGAGGGGCAGGGGGCGACGGCGGGACACGGGCAGCTCGCCGTGTCCCCTCCCCGCTCACGCTGTCCCCGTGTCGCACAGCCGCGGCTGAGCGTCCCCTTTAGAGCCGCTCGGGTCCCCGCTGCCCCTCAGCGCTCCGGGACACCGAGGTGTGCCTTTGTCCCTGCCCCGCCTGTCCCCAGCATTCCCCTCCCCGTTCCCGGGGCTCTGTGACACCCGGTGCCGGTGTGAATCTCGCCCCTCGGAAGGTCTGCTGCGGCCTCCTGGAGGTGCAATTCCACCCCTGAGGTCACGGCTGTGCCCAAAGGTGTTTTCCTTGGAGCCAGCTGGTGCCAGGAGCCCGGAGCGTTGCAGTGATTCCCCCCGTGCCCACAGACACCACCCAGAACTGCCCCCCTGGCATTTCCAGGCCTGTGGAGGAGGGGGAAGGAGGGAGGAGTGGGTGACATGGGGCTGGGGGCTCAGGGTGGGCTCTGTCCCCCCTCCCTGACCCCCTGCTCCCTCATTCCCAGATTATCCGAGTGCAGTCGCCAGAGGGAGTGAAGAGAATCACGGCCACGAAGAGAGAGACGGTGGGGACGTTCCTCAAAAAGGTACCCAGGGTGCCCAGTGCCCCCCTCGGGGTGGGCAGGGCTCCCCTGGCTCTGTCCTGGAGGGACATCCCTGTTTCACCCCCTGGCAGCAGCCAGGAGCAGCATTCCAGGTGGAAAACCACACCTGGATGGGTGTAGCTTGTGTTGTTCCAGAGGGAAAATGACAAATTTAAGGAAAAAACTGCCTCAGCTTCTCTGTTGGGGCTTCCTAGGGGGGGAACTTTCCTGGCAAGGACTTTTTGGGGCTCTCCCAAAGAAGTGGCAGCTGGGAAGCAGAAGGGGAGCTGTGGGATGGTCAGAGCTCTGCTCCAGGAGGGTTCCAGGCTGGCTCAGCTGCTGGGTTTGGGCTTGGAATATCCTTTGGGTGTGCTGTGTGTGCTCCTGGATGGATTTGGAGAGAGCAGGGCAGGGATGGAGGGAGATCCCAGGGCCCTGGGGAGGGGGCTGGCCCTGCTGGGGTGCAGCTGTGCTCCAGCAGGGAGCAGCTCTCCCTCCTGGGGTTCACTGGGGTTGTTTGCTCCATGAGTGTGTTCCTGAAGGGAAGGGAATGGCAGCAGTGGGAGCCTGCCCTTTGTGAGTCACAGCTTGGGCTGGAGCTGTGGCCCAGACAGGACAGCATTCACTGCCAGCGTTCCCACCTGGCCAGGAACATCCAGGGCTGCCTCAGGGACACTCCCTGCAGCCCCAGCCGAGGCAAGAGGAGCCTCCAGGAGCTCTGGAGCCTGGGCAGGAGGAGCTGCTGCTCTCCAGGGCTCGGGTTACTCGGGCTGGAAAACTCTTCCTGCCAGGACAAAGCCCCTGGAATTGCCTGTTCATCTGGGGAGGGCTCTGTGCTCTGGCTGAGCTGCAGCAGGGTTCATTTGGGTTCATTTCCTGCTGCAGGGTTTGCTTGGAACAGGAAAGTGGCAAATTTTCCCACCTGAGGTCTGTGTTTTATGTAAATCCAGGTCTACCTGTGCTGTGGATGTTAATGCTGGAGTGTTCACCCAGGGGCTGGGTTTGGTGTTTAGGGGGCAGCTGTAATTAGAGAGGTGTCAGATTGCTGCTTCCATGCCAGGAATTCACCTGGATCTGCTCCAGGAGTGCCCAGGGAAGAAAGGGCTGGAGAATCTTCCCTGTCTCCTGTGGCACATCCCAGGGAAAGGCACCAAAAAAGTCACTCTGGCTGTGCTCAGGATCAGGAATCAGCTCAGACCTGCTGTTAATGTGTTGTGGGATTTGTCTGCCCCCAAAAATGGAATTCTGTGGCCTGAGGAGCAGGAGCTGATCCCTGTGAAAGGGTCCCATTCAAAGGGATCACCCTGCTGCAAATCACAGCTGAGCTGACAGGAAAAAACTGCTTTTCATGGCTGTGCTCATGTGACAGCCCTTTGTGGCCCATCAGATTTGTCCTGTGGGCAGGATCCCATCCCTGACTCCCACCAAAGCCTTGGGGAGTGTTTTTATCAATAAAAATAAAGGCCTTTCACTTCAGAAGTTAGGGCAAAACCTGGCAAATAGACAAACTTTAAACACCACTTTGAAACTGATGAAGTTCTCAAGGGGCCAAATGTGCAAATTATTTTGGCTGGGAAGAGGTGTTGGAGTGATTCCAAGTAAACCAGACTTAATCTGAGCTGGGAGAACCTGCCTGGGGACTGAGGGGAGGGAATTCCTTGGGAGAGAGGAGAAAAGGGGGGAAAAGCAGACAGAACAGCAGGAGGAGGTTGAGTGGAGCACTGGGAGGTGGGAATGGAGCTGAGAGCACAGAGGTGAAGGTGTGGATTGTGGAATTCTGGTGGCAGGAGGATGGGAATGACTTGGTGGTGTGTGCTGGTGCAGCTGGAGCAAGACAACTGGGATAGTGGAGAAGTTTCTCCCTGCAGTCACGCAGGGCTTGCCTGGCTGTGGCTGGAACTCTGCATTTTGTGTTGTGTGAGGCAGAGACAGTTGTGGTGGAGTTGTTTCAGCTCCTGGTTTAATCCATCGCTCGTTTTTCCAGGTGTTTCCATCTCCTGTTATCCCGAGCACAGGAATGGGGGGAATTGAGCTGAATTTCTGGAGGAGGAGTTCTCTGGGGCCAGCTGTGGCTCTGAGCCCTTCCAGGAGGCTCACAGCTCACGCCCTGTCCCTGTTCCTGCAGGTGGCCAAGGAGTTTGGCTTCAGGAATAATGGCTTCTCCGTGTACACCAACCGCAACAGGACCGGCGAGATCACGGCGGCGCAGAACAAATCCCTCAACCTGCTCAAGATCAAGTGAGTCCTCACCAGAGGGGCTCTGCCTGGGCCTTCCAGAAGGGGCAAATCACATCCCAGGAGTGCCCAGCTTCCAGTGTCACTCCTGGGCTGGGGGGAGGGCGTGGTGGCCGTGCTGGAATGGGGGTCACAGTGACACGGGACAGGTGGTGCCTGTTCCTTGGGTCACTCCTTGGGGTGTGTTTGCTGTGGGGAGGCTTCATCCCAGTTTTCCCTCCCTAATCCCTGCTTTCACCTCTTTGTCCCAGCTTTCCCTGCCTCACCTCCACCTTCCCTCTCTCATCCCCAGCTTTCCCTGCCTTATCCCCCCATTGCCCTCCTGTTTTCACCCTTACATGCCTGCTTTCCCTCCCTCACCCTCCTTTCCCTCCCTCATCCCAGCTTTCTCTGCCACATCCTTGTTTTCACTCCTTCATCCCCACTCCCTCCTCCCTGTTTTTCCCTCAGCTTTGTCTCCTGCTGGAAGGATTTGCATGTATTGCAAATAAAAGCAGGAAGAGGTGGCTCACAGGGCAGCTTCCAAGTGCCATCTGTGCTGCCTGGTTAGAATTTGTGCCACATTCCATGCCCTTCCATGGGAGCTCTGCCTGCTGGGAAGCCCCTCCAGCTTCCTGGCTGTGTCTCCCACAGCTCCCACAGCCATGTGCTGTATCCCACCCTGCAGGCACGGGGATATGCTGTTCCTGTATCCCTCCAGCCCAGCTGGCTCCTCCTCAGAGACCATGGACACCTCTGTCTCCCAAAATTCCCGGCCTGGGGGGGCCCCCCAGGTGGTGGAAGATGAGATTGACCAGTACCTGATCAAGCAGGATGGGAAGATTTACCGGAACCGAGACCAGCAGCTGTAAGTGGGGGTGGTCCTGGTGCTGCCCATGGAGCTGGGGCTCACCAGGGCCTGGAATGTCAGGGCCCAGCCCAGCAGGCAGGAAATCCCTGGGGGAGCTGCCCTTGGCTCCATCCTGAGTGCCCTGGGGACATCCTCAAGGGAAAACAGCCCCTGGTGAGCCCAGGGAAGAAGCAGATGCCCAAATTCCAGAGTTTTTTGGCAGGAAGGATTCACTCAGAGCAACCATTGTTCAGATGGAGCAGACCCTGGTGCTCGTGCTCCTAAAGCACTGGAATTCTCTAGATTAGCATGAACATTCTGCATTCTTCCTAGGCAGAGTTAGATGAGGTATTGGGAAGGAATTCTTCCTGGGAGGGTGGGCAGGCCCTGGCACAGGGTGCCCAGAGAAGCTGGGGCTGCCCCTGGATCCCTGGCAGCGTCCAGGGATGGGGCTGGGCACACCCTGGGGTGGGGGAAGGTGTCCCTGCCATGGCAGGGCTTGGGATGGGAACTTTAAGGTCTCTCCAGCCCAAAGCATTCCAGGATTTGCTGTTCCAAGTAGGAGCACTCTGTGCCTTCAGACTCAGCCACTCCTCATAATGGAAAATATGGAAGTGAAGGAGTGGAAGTATCCAATGGCAGAGGTTTGGAAGTGGGACTTGGGTCTCTGCTTGCTCTGGCTTCCCTTCATGATGTGTCTGCCTGACCTCTCCATGAAACCAGGGAGTCCCTTTTGCTCACAAAAATGCACCAAAGTCCAACTTCCCAAAGCTCTTCCTTGCAAGAGGCTTAGGGAAACAAAGCAGCTTCTCTTTCTGTAAAAATAACAAGTTAAACCCACCCAAAACCTGCCCTGGTGCTGCTAAAACATCCTCTGCTGGGAGGGGGCTTTTAATTATTCAGTGTTAATGACCCAGTTGGGTCCTGGCCTGATGTCTGCACTGGCTGTGGCCTTGGGGCTAGAACCCTCTGGAATAACACTCCTCAAAAGGTTAGGGGGAAAATTTTAAAGGCAAGAATTCCTGCTAAAACAGAATGGTTTGCCCTTCCCCCTGGGACTGTGCTCCACGTGGTTTATCCTCAGTGCTGCAGCAATGAGGAACTTTGTGGAGAATCCTCCCTGACCTTCCCAGCTGACCTTAAGTGATGGAATGTCACATCACTGGAGCAATAAAGGCAACCCCACCACTCCGTGGCAGAAATGTTGCCTTGAACTCGCCCACATTTTCCAGAGGAATTGATGGAGCTGTTCCTAGCAGGGAGCCAGGGCCCAGGGGAGGGTGTTGAGGATAAAAGGAGTTGTCTGGGCTGGTTCCTGCCTTTGGGAGCGTGGATCAATCTCCAGTGAAGGATGCTGAGTGCTTTAGCAGCATTTAACTCTCCTTTCTGTGCATTATCTGCCACAAAACATCCTGAAAAAACCTCCTGCAACTGGATCCCATCCATTGTTTGCACAGCCCAACCTCCCTGCTCCTCTCCTGGGCCCTTCCTTTGGAAACCAGCACTGACCTGCTGTTGGTTTAGGGGTTTTTTTAAAGCAATCACCACAAAAGGAGATGTTTTCCCCTCTGTAACTGTACCCAGCTGGGCTTTATCTGCCTGATAAACACACACTTCCCTGGCTGTTCCTGCCCTGCCTGATAAAGGATGAACATTTTGGGTGGCTTTTTGTTAAAATCACCCTGCCACGTGGTGGGTGGAGAATTGCCCAGAGCTCGTGTAGATCTTCCACACCAAACTTACTCCAGAGAAGCTTGTACAGGCTGATTTTTCCATGATTAAATAAGATTTATTCCTCCTTCCATTTCCAGGTGAAATGAGATTTAACCCCAGTTCTCTCTCTCTCTGCCCAGGTGTCGCCACGGCCCCTTGGGCAAATGTGTGCACTGTGTCCCACTGGAGGTAAGAGCCCCAGGAAGGTGCTCCAGACCCACCTCAGTTCCTCCCACTAGGAACTCTTTTCCTAGGAATGTTGCCTGCCCAGAGGTGGCAGCTCCAGGCTGGAATCCTGCCCTGCACTGCCAGAGCTGCTGGTTCTGGGATCACTGCAGATCCCAGCCTTTGTGGGCTGATCCTGGTTAAAGATGGTTTTCTGCAGTGATGACTTTAACAGAAAGTGCTTCAAAAGAGCCCTATTCTCCCTCAGTCTTCACTTTTCCCTGGATTTTCTTGTTTTGTCCCCTCTCCCCTGGATCCCAGCACTTCCCAGTTTAACCACCTGGCACAGGGTGCCCAGAGCAGCTGTGGCTGCCCCTGGATCCCTGGCAGTGCCCAAGGCCAAGTTGGACAGGGCTTGGAGGACCCTGGGATAGTGGAGGTGTTCCTGCCCTGGCAGGGGTGGAATGAGATAGGCTTTAAAGCTTCTCCCAACCCAAACCATTCCATGGTTATCCAGGTTGAAGCAGCTTTAGTGACACCTCAGACGTGCAGGGCTGTGTAATTTATGGCATGAAGCAGCAGCCACCCCCCCAGGGGGATCCTGCTGTTCCAGGATGGCTCTTCCCCTGTGCTGGAAGTGCTCTGGGAGTCCTTGGCCGTGTTGGAACAGCTGGGCCCGTTGTTTGTTGTTAGATATTGAAAGGAAAAAACCTTTTGCCGTTGAGATTCTGATTTGTGGGGCCAATCTGTTCCCGGAGCAGGAGGCCACCATAAAACTCCCTGTTGTAAAGCTCCACTGTTTGCATCCCAGTAGTAGCTGCCTTGCAAATGAGCCTGAATTTCCTTGATTGCTTCCATATTGCGGGGTTGAGTGTGGAACATGCATTTGCTGAGGGATCAGGGTGTTATCAGACAGGTGTGTGACCTGGCCCTGCTCTGTGCCGTGTTTTTGGCAGCCCTTCGATGAGGATTATTTGAACCATCTGGAGCCTCCTGTGAAGCACATGTCATTCCATGCCTACATCAGGAAGCTGACCGGAGGGGCAGACAAGTAAGGAAATCTCTGGGTTTAAGGGAATCTGGTTGGAGCTTTGGTTTTTTTAACACAAATGAAAGTACAGACAGATCTCAGTGTTGGACACGAGGATTGAATGGCAAACAAAGGAGAAAAAAAAACACATTAAAAAGATGAGGTTAAAAGGAAAAGGCAGGAGGGAAAAATTAAGTCTGTCTTTTTATTTTATATCCCCATTTTGTTTCTATTTTTCTTTTCCTGTGGCAATATGATTCCTTCCAGGAAACACTCCTGATGGGAGGGAAGGCCAGATGGAAGGAAAGAAGTTCCCTAATTGCACCAAGCTCCAAGCCTGTTTCTCAGACTTGGTGGACATAAGTTACACAAAGGTGTAATCTTCTCCCTGCTATTCCCAAATACCATTGGGACTTTTAACATCTCTTTGCGAGATGCAGCTCCAGTCTATGAGACTTCCATTTGAAGGGAATTTCCCTCTCCAGGAAGCCTTGTGCACATGAAAGGAGGATTTGCTGTGGTGCTACAATCTCTTACTTCCCACACACTCCATAAATGATTGCTCCAAAAGCATTTACTGTGCTAACAGCAGCCTTTTCTTCCCCCTCTTCCTTTTCTTCCCCCTCTTCCTTCCCTTCTCCCCCTTCTCACCCTTCTCCCTCTTCTTCTCCCACCTTTCATTCTTTCTGTTCCCTGTTTCTCTTCCTCCTTTCTCCCCCTTCCTGTCCCAGAGGGAAGTTTGTAGCCCTGGAGAACATCAGCTGTAAGATCAAGTCTGGGTGTGAGGGGCACCCTCCCTGGCCCGAGGGGATCTGCACCAAGTGCCAGCCCAGCGCCATCACCCTCAACCGACAGGTGAGAGGAGCTCGGGCACCTGCCAGGGGACCTGGCTTCTAGTTTGGGAAAGGTGACTTCCAAAAAAGCCAACCAGGAGCACAAAGCCTCCAGTGTCAGGGCAATCCTGTCCAGCTCTTCAGGCCTTGCCAAATGGGCTCCAAAATGTCCTGGGTGAGAATTTCCTCCCAGCGTGAGGACTGAGCTAGCAGCACTGGTGATGAATCCTGCTGATTAATCCCAATGGTTTTCTTCATGGGACCCAAAAGGCCACTGGTCTTTTGGATCCCCTGATCCAAATGCTTTGCCACAGCAGACCAAAAGGTTCTGCTGCTTTCCTCCTAAATTTCAGTGTCGTTTTCCCTGCAGAGGTGGGACCTCCATCCTCTTGGGGTGAAGGTTGCAGTGAAGCCCCCGAGGTGCTGGGGGTGCTGAGCACATCCCACGCCCCAGGCTGAGCCCGGAGCAGTGCTGAGGGGTGGGAGCTGAGCAGAGGGAAGAGGGAGGGAGCCCCAGCCTCCCCCTGCCCTGCTGTGCAGGGTCCAGCTCCGGAGGGTGGTGTGTGTCCTGGGAAGGGACCGGAGCCAGCAGAGGACGGCCTGACACTTGAACTTTGTCAAACAGAAATACAGGCATGTTGACAACATCATGTTTGAGAACCACACAATTGCAGATCGCTTCCTAGACTTCTGGAGGAAGACAGGGAACCAACATCTGGGATATCTGTACGGCCGGTACACGGAGCACAAAGACATCCCGCTGGGAATCCGGGCGGAGGTGGCAGCCATCTATGAACCCCCCCAGGTGAGAGCCAGGGTCCACTCACAATTGGGAACACACCTTTTTAGTTTGGAAAACCTCACGCAGCATTTCCAGCTGCAGGTCCACAGGGAAAACTGTCCTGAGAAAAGGTGAACCCAGGGCCCTCAGTGCCGGCTCAGGATCAGGGAACACACAAACACCTTTTTAGTTTGGTATTTCCAGCTGCAGCGCCACTCACAATTGGGAACACACTTTTTTTAGTTTGGAAAACCTCACGCAGCTTTTCCAGCTGCAGGTCCACAAGTAAAACTGTCCTGAGAAAAGGTGAACCCAGGGCCCTCAGTGCCGGCTCAGGATCAGGGAACACACAAACACCTTTTTAGTTTGGTATTTCCAGCTGCAGCTCCCCAAGGAAAACTGTCCTGGGGAAAAGAGGACCTGATTTGTGTCCTTGACATCACCATCCATTGCAGCCAGAGAAACAATTTTAAAACCCCATTTTGCTTTTTGTTGTTTTTTTACCCTCGGTTGATTTAAATCCAGGGTGACTGTAACAGCAGATTTCACTTTTAATCTTTCCTTGATTCCTGGTTTTCTAACAGCATCTGTTAAATCCATCTGTAACAGCAGATTTCACTTTTAATCTTTCCTTGATTCCTGGTTTTCCAGCAGATTCTGTGCTAGGAAAAAACAGTTGCATCCCTTGCTTCAGTTCTTTACCAGCTCTCTGGGAAAATTGAAGCAGCTTAATTAAATAGAATGAAGTCTGAATTATTTGAAGACAAAATAATGGAGAGGCTGAGGACGGGTTTGGCTGGAGCAGCTGGAATCCCCACTAGGTGGGGCACGGCACCACTCCTCAGCCGAGTGCTCCTCACGTACTTCCTTCCTCCTCTCGGGTTCTGCACGGCTGCCAAGTAAAATCCAACAGATTGTCAGTGGAAAAGCAACAAATGGATCCTTGGGACTGTGGCTTGAGAGCAGAGTGGCACAGGGAGGTCTCTGGGGTGACACCAGTGTGTGGTGATGCCTGAAGGGAAGCCCAGACCTCTACTCCCAGCCTCTGCCTCATTGCCCACAGTGGTTTTTCCCCAGTTCTGTGTCACTAACCAGTGTCTCTTTGCTGCAGATTGGCACCCAGAACAGCCTGGAGATCCTGGAGGATCCCAAAGCCGAGGTTGTGGATGAGATTGCGGCAAAGCTCGGCCTGAGAAAGGTCAGGATGTGTCAGATCTCATGTCTTTGTGAGGCAGGGAAGTGGTCAGCAATTCTCCCCAGCTCCATAGGGTTGTCCAACACCTAAACCTTGCTAAAGTGTCAGTAGCTGGTACATATTTAGGTCTGAAACCCAAATCCAGAGGGTTTTCCTGAGCACAGACCCGTCACAGGGCTGTGTGGCTGCAGTAGCAGGGGCAAAGCAGCACAAGCTCCATCCTCCCTTTCTTTCCCCTCCAACAGGAGCCATTCCAGGAAGTATCTCCCTGGCAAGTGCTAATTTGGCCCAGATGGAGCTGGAGTTGCCTCTGTGTTCCGTTTCCAGGAGCAGGGGCTGCCCTTGGCTTGTGTTCCCCTCCTTGGTGCTGCAGGGAGTCAGTGGTGTGTGGGGTTTGGGGTGCACGTCCCCCTCAGTTCCAGGCTGCAGTGATCCCACCAGGATTCCCTGATTTCCTGACAGCCCTCCAACCTGCAGTGATGTTTTCCTGTTTGGGAGCAGCGTTGGTATGGTGGGAATGCCAGGAATGGGATGTACACAAACAAGATTTGACTTGCTGGAGAAAACCCGCCTGGCAGACGGCTCAGTGCAGACTGTAAACATCTGGGGAGGGCTTTGTTCTCTCAGATAAGATCCCACCCCTCGCCAGAGGCTGGAGCAAAACTTCTCAGTGTTATTTATTTCCATGTTCTCCCATCAGATATTTTTAATCCATGGGACTTAACACGTCACCAAGTGCTGGGTGCAGGGTTTGGTCTGCCTGGGCTCCAGGGGAGTTGGGATCAGTTCTGCCTTGGAAGGGTTAATGCTGTGGGAGCTGGGGTTGGCACCTGGGTGGAGAGGGATCATCCCCAGGTGTGTGTCCATGTCACAGCTCTGTGGAAGGATTGGTGCCAAGGTGTTTGGACACACGTCACACGTGTGTGAGAGGATTCACTCCGAGGTGTGTTTGTACCACAAAAAGCAGGAATGTGCTTGCTGGGGTCAGTGCTGACTCCAGTTTGGAATGAGTCACACTCCAGTAGAGCTTTCTCTTAACCAGTACCTGCAAGGTTCAAACTGGGGTTGTGTGAGAGGTTCAGGCTGGGGCCACGTGAGCTGCTCTGTCACCCCTGGGTGCCAGGTCCTGCTCCAAACTCTCCGCAGGAAATGCTGGGGCTGGGAGCAGGGGGTGGCACAGAGGCCTCTTGCAGCCTCCTGATCTTTCCATGAAAAAATATTCCATAGTGAAACCTAATGCTGCAGGTGCCCTGGCTGGCCAGCTGGCATGCTGCTGCTCCTGGAAATGGGATTCCAAGGAGCCCGGCACAGCTGGGAGAGCCATTCCCTGCAGCAGTGTGCACAGGGCCCAGAGGAGCCAAGAACATCGTGTCCTGTGAGCAGAAAATGTCTGAGCTCTTCTGGTTTCCTCTTTCCTTTCTTTTTTTTTTGTCCTTTTTTTCCTTAAAGCAACGTTCTCCATCCCCCTTTGTAGGTTGGCTGGATATTTACTGACCTGGTCTCGGAAGACACACGGAAAGGCACCGTTCGATACAGCAGGAACAAGGTGAGATCCAGGTGTGACCCAGTGAATTCCCAATTAATTCCCAGTGAATTCCAGCTCCTGAGCCAGGCAGAGAGCTGAGCCAGGGCTGCAGGTGGCACTGGAGATCTTGGGAGATGGGGTTTTCCGGGCCCTTCTGAAGGAAAAGGAGCTGGAACCCTTGGAGATGTTAGGGATTGAGCTGTTTGGGAAGCAGGCAGAGCTGCTGAAGCAGCTTCACAGCCCTGCTTTGAGGATATGGTGCTCATGGAATAGTTCAGGTGGGAAGAGACTTTAAAGCCCATACAGTTCCACCATGGGCAGGGATAACTTCACTGTGCCAGGCTGCTCCAAGCCCTGTCCAACCTGGCCTTGGACATTTCCAGGGATCCAGGGGCAGCTGCAGCTTCTCTGGGCACCCTGTGCCAGGGCCTCACCCTGCTCACAGGGAAGAACTTCTCCCTGAAATCTCTTCTATCCCTGCCCTTTTTAGGGCTAAGAAAACTGCAGGGAGTGGAGTGGGATGTGAGGGACAAACCCAGTGAGGCAGAGTGATTCAGAGGATGTTCCCATGGGCTGGGCTTTGTGACACATACACGGCTCAAACTTCGACCTCCACAGCTTCCTGTCCTTGTAAACCCAGTGATATCCATATTTGGAAAGTGAAACTTGATTTTTCAAAAAAAAGAAGGTGTGTAGAGTGGGTGGGACTCGGTGTGGGGCAGTTCTGAGCCAGCCCAGAGCTGGGAGCTGACAGGTCACATTCTTGTCCCGGGCTCCGCAGCAGCTTTCCACGAAAGCGTGTTTTCCTGGGGTGTTGGTCGTTTTCCTTGGCTGCAGCTCAGGGAAATAGGTCTGGGCTACGTCACCTTGTCCTTTGGCTGATTGGAGTCCGTGCTCTCCCCTCAGGACACGTATTTCCTGAGTGCAGAGGAGTGCATCACAGCTGGCAACTTCCAGAACCAGCAGCCCAACATCTGTCGCCTCTCTCCCGATGGGCACTTTGGATCCAAGTTTGTCACAGTTGTGGCTACAGGTACAAACTGGCCTCAGCCCTCTGGGCTTCACCTGAATTACCTCTTGTTAGTAGAAGAATATGCCAGAAATCACATGTCCTGCTCCCCATCTGTCCTATTTAACAAGGGGTTTGCTCTATAAACTAAAATACTTCCTCATTCTTTGTTTTATCCTCTCTACAATACTCACTCATTATTTATTTGCCAGTTTTTTACTCTACAACTGTTTAAAGAGACTTACTTGAGGCTCAGCCCCACCTCTCTGACCCAGAAATCACTCTCTGCCTGCAGCCAGGGCAACAACTGTTGCTCACTTTTTATTTCAAATCCTTAAGCTCCAAATTCTGTTGCCTGGAAGCAGCAGTGCAGAACCATAACACTCCAGAGTTATGGATGAGTTCCTCCTTCAGGAGGGATCTTTACCTCCCTCATGTCACTGTCAGGGAAACCTGACAGGGAAAAAAAATCTATCAGGGGAAAAAAATGTTTGGAAACATTTATTTGGCTGAGTAGAACAGAAGCTCCTGCAAAGTGCTTATGGTTAAAGCCTCTGGTTTTAGCCATTTCCAGGGAGTCTCCAGAGGCACTGTAGATGGGCTGGGCTGGGAGGGGGGACACTGGCATGTGCTGGGAGGGCTGGAGTGTTCCCAGTTCACTCTGTTCTTCTCCATGGGATGACACATGTCTTCATTTAAACCTTCCCTGGAGCAGAATCGCTGGTTCTGGCTCTGTTTAACACAATGAAAAAACCCTCATGACTTCCAAATAACATCCAGAGTGAAAAGTGAAAGTGGGATGGGACACTGCCTGCCCTGAGCCTGGCTTTGTAAGGGTTCCCAGGGCCTTTTTTTCAGTGAAAAAGCTCTTTTTTTAGTTAACAGGCCTGTGCCTGTACGTTCCAGACTGCTAAACACATCCATCTCTCATTAAATATAGATCTGTATCTCTCTTTTATATATTTATTTATTTATTTAATCTTTTTTTTAGACAAGGTGTTTTACTGAGCAAACACACTTCGTTCAGGCCTTCCCCCGTCCTGGTCTCTGTTTAATTTCTAGGAGTGTTTGTTCTGGAGCAGTGAGTGATTGAGGTTACAGATCAAAGGGTAGAAAAGGAATATTTCCTCTTTGCTGTTCCAGCTAATTTCATTCTCCTCTGTTCAATCAGCCCAGCAGGTTCTATTTAAACACTTGAGTCCCTCTTTTTGTGCTGCAGAAATGTATTTGGATAGTTTGCCTCAACTTTGCCTTTAAATCCTCCACATGGATTAATTCCCATTCCCTCCTGAATTCCTGGCTTTGGAAATTGTAACGTTTTCCTACCATCTGCCTTCCTCCTCTCTTTCCAGTTGTATTCCAGTGACACATGACCTGATGTTGCTTACACTATCCAAATGGAAGTGCCAAACATGTGATCCTTCCATGAGCCAGCTCCTAATTCCCACTTTCCATGTCAGATTTCCACCAAACCATCCAGTACAGGCTGAGAAAACACTGTTCAGGCCTGGCATGGCCAGGGGATCTGCAGCTCAGGGATCCTTGGGAGTGAAACAGGGCCACAGGAGCTGCATGCCTGGGTTTTGTTTGGAAAAGGAGGAGATACCTGCTGGGTAGGGGAGGGTGATGCTGTCAGAGCCCCCAAAAGGGCAGCTCCTCCTCCTTGGAGCTCCTGGCAGATCATTCCTGCTGTTCCCTGGCTCCGTGCTCTTGGGATAATTGTGGAAATGTGTGTGGCTATAAAAATGTGGAGTTTAGAGGGAATTCTTGCCTAGGATTCTTGCCATGCAGCAGCACCAGCAGCTTCATCTCGGTGTTCATCACTGTTAGCTTTGTGTTTAATCATGGGCTCTTGGAATTGTTAAGGTTGGAAAAGAGCTCCAAAATCATCGAGCCCAACTTTAGTGCTGCTCTTCCAGTCATTTCTGTTGGAGTTACACCAAGGAAATCACCCCTGTGCTGGATTTTCAGGAAGAATTTCTTCATGGGAAGTGTTGTGAGATGGAATCCCCACCCCGGGAGGTGCCCAGGGATGTTGGCCTGGGTGACAATGTGTGGATCAGTCACAGATCGATCTTGGAGCAGTTTTCCACCCTTTAACCACCCTCTCCTCCTGCAGGTGGTCCTGACAACCAGGTGCACTTTGAGGGGTACCAGGTGTCCAACCAGTGCATGGCCCTGGTGCGGGACGAGTGCCTGCTGCCGTGCCGGGACGCGCCCGAGCTGGGCTACGCCAAGGAGTCCAGCAGCGAGCAGTACGTGCCTGACGTCTTCTACAAGGTGAGGGCCGAGGGCCTGGCCAGCTCTGGGATGTGCCCCTGCATCCAAGCACTGATCCTGAGCGGCAGCAGGGAAAATGTGCATCCAGAGCAGGTCCAGAATACTCAATGTCACAGAGTTGTGGAATGGTTTGGGTTGGGAGGGGCCTTAAAGCTCATCCCATTCCACCGCTGCCACTATCCCAGGGTGCTCCAAGCCCCATCCAGCCTGGCCTTGGACACTTATAGGGCTGGGGCAGCCACAGCTTCTCTGGGTAAACTGCCAGGGCCTCATCGCCCTCACAGGGAAGAATTTCTTCCCAATATCCCATCCATCCCTGCCCTCTGGCAGTGGAAAGCCATTCCCTGTGTCCTGTCACTCCACCCCTTGTCCAAAGTCCCTCTCCAGATTTCTTGGATCCCCTTTAGGCACTGGAAGAGACTCTCAGGTCTCCCTGGAGACTTCTCCAAGTAAATATCTCCAGGTGAATACCCCCTCCTCTGGACTCACTCCAGCAGCTCCACATCCTTCCAGTGCTGAGGAGCCCAGAGCTAGAGGCAGCTCTGCAGGAGGGGTGTTGGAAGGACACGAGGTGTCACTGCTGCCCCTGCCTGCTGCACTTGGGGGTTGTTGGTGATAGATGGAATGTCATTATTCCCTTGCCAGTTGTTCTGGAGCCCTTCAGCCCCTCCTGTGCCTGTATAGCTCAGGATCAGGCTCCCTGTGGATGCCAATAGTGCTGCTGCTCCAGCCCAGGGCTCCTGGTGCCCCATGAGCGGGGACAGAGGAGTTAATTAATGGCACTGCTGGCTGGCTAATTAGCCATCCATCACCCTCTGTGTTATCTCCTTCCTGTCCTGTCTGCTCCTGCTGCCTGTGGTAAAGCTGTCCTTTAAGGAGCACAGGACAAGGAAAGCTGCCTTTGTTTGGGAGGAGTGGAATGAGGGGATTGTTCTCCAGCAGTGGGAATTGAGCTGATCAGGGTGTTCCTGCATGCCCTGAGCCTGGGACTGGGAAGTGCTGGTTTCCCTGTCAGCCTCCATGGTTTCCACCCCTTGGAGCCAGACTGCTGGCTTGCCTTGACCCCACCTGGAAACAAGGAACACCTCTGGGCTGAATCCAGGGCTGGAGAGGGAGAGCAGATGGAATCCTGCTCTCTCTGGAGCACGCAGCTTCCTCCTAGGGCTGATAAGCCAGGGCTGATCACAACAAGCAGAGCTGGGTGTGCAAAGGTTGGCCCTGAACGTGAGGAGGGTGAGATCATCTCCTGGCGTGCCCCCATCCCACCGTGGAGCAGCCCAGGCCGTGCCACACTCGGGCAGCCTCCAGGAGGTCCCGCAGCTCTGTGGCCCACATGTGGCCCACCCGGGGTGCCGCGAGCAGCAGGAAGCCAGTGGGTGTTCCCAGAAGGGCTTCACTCCCATCTCTAATCTGAAGCAGGGAGATAAACAAAATGGGAACGGATGGCTCCAGCCTTGCATGGAAATTTCCATCATCCACTGATTCACTGGGTCGGGCTGCAGCTGATTTTGTGTTTCAGAGCTCCTCTCCCTGATTGCCCTTTCCAGGGAGCGCTCGAGGATGGCCCCGCCGGGTGGGATTCTCCCTCAGCCTCCAACGCATCTGGCTCTGGGATCCCTCAATTATTTTTGAGTGTTCTTAAATCTGTGGAAAGCTTAGTCACTCCTGGCTTGGGAAACCTTTGGGGTCCCATTAAATGTGCAAGGCTTGAGATCAGAGACACTACCTCATCCTGGGGTGGTGACAACAGCCGTGTCCGAGCCCCGGTGAACTCCAGGAGGAGCAGGAATCTGCTGGCACAGGATGGAATCTTTGGGGTCCAGTACCTTGCTCTCCCTTTGTTCCCAGTCTGTGATGTGGGTTCCCCTCTGTCCTGCCCCTCCCCAGCCAGTTTTGGGGAGAAAGCTGCACTTTGGAGTAGTTGCTGTTTCCTCTGGGACTGTGCAGAGAGAAGTCCATGTGCGTTCCCATACAATATCCAAGTATTCATCTGAAAAGCCCTTTAGGATGAAAGGAGCTCTACAAATTAATTCTAATTGGATGAGGACCAGGAGGCTGATGTTTGTGGAGTGTGGATGTATTTATAGAACAGCCAGATGTGAGGCAGGACCCGTGGAGCTCAGATCTGTCCGAGGGCAGTGCAGTGGATTCACCTCCAGCTTGTGAATTGGAAAAGGGGCTGCTTTTCTTCCATGGAAATGGGAAAGCTGATGGCACTGGCACTGTCCTGTGGTTTTCCTGAGCCTGCAGCTGGGTGGTTTCTGTATTCTTTACCATTCCCTTTATGTTGGCCCCTGGCCTGCTGCTCTGAGGAGCCATCCCCATGGAATTGGCTTTGGACACGCAGCCGTTGCTGTCCTGGCTCAGGAAGGGAGAGCTCTGCTCCAGTGGGGAACTCGAGGGGTTTGGGCACTGTGAGAACAAGTTCCTTTGCTCGGAGGTGCCTCCCCAGGTTAGCCAGGAGGAAAAACGGATCCCTCCTGGCCTGCAGGGGTGTCTGGGAAGCATCAGGGCCCAGCACTGGTTCCAGCTGGAACGGGGCACAACCAGCACGTGCTGCTTGGCCAGCTCAGCACACAGAGCTCAGGGAGGAGTCCATGATGTGCAGACACGGACACAGGTTGGGATAAAGACCCTGTGAGTGAAGATGATGATCTTGCAAAGGCCACTTCACCCAGTTTCTAGCTGGGTGAGGGTGAGCCTGGCTGAATATTCCACACGATTTTGCATCCTGTCCTCTGTCCTTGAGCAGCCTCCTCTGTCCATCTGGTTTTTGAAAACAGCTGGATTGATTTGGATTTCATTGAGGATGTACCTTGGGTTGATATTCAACACTGAGGGAGTGCTCAGGGTGCAGCTGGGGGATCCCTCCCTGGGCTGCTGCACCCCGTGCCAGCTGTCACCTCCTCCCAGTCCACTGGAACTCTGCAGTGCTGAACTGCTCCACCATTAGCTTCATCAACTGTGGGAAGAGATTCCTGATGTTTTACAGACGCTTCAAAACTCCTGGATAATTGGATTTGGGGGCTGGCTGGCTTTGTCTCTTATCACAGGTATTTGTGACAGCTCAGCGCAAACACGATGTCATCGTCATCCTCACAGTGAATTGCATTTTCCAGCTGCCTTAACATCCCCCCAGAGTTTCTTTAGCATGGTTTAGTGTGCCTCCAGAGTTTCTTTGGGATGGTTAACATTCCCCCAGAGTTCCTTTGGGATGGTGTAAGACAAAAGCCCTTTACAAGCGTTGTGCAAGAGCCCTTTGCCCTCGAGTCCTACACGTGCTCTGAGCTCTCCTGTGGCTGAGCCGTGTCTGAGCCCTGGCCTGGCACCAGTGACACGTGTCCCATCCCTCCCTGGGACAACCCAAGCCAGGGCCCTGCTTTTATCAGAGCCCAGCAGGACCTCTGAGGCAGGCTGTCCTGCCATGGCATTGGAAATCCTCTTCCCAGGGAGAGCCAGGCTGCGGGGAGTGTTCACTGACGGGGAAGGACTTCCCTGGCTGCCCTCCCACCAGCTCGTGAGCTGCCTTAGCCTCAAATGTCCCAGCTGCTCCGGGGAGGAGGATGCTGGATTAGCTCAGCAGGAGTCTCCTGGGAAGGGTTTCACCTCTCCCTGACCTGTCACTTGCTCTTGGAGAATTCACTTCGTTTCTGCGCCCTGTGCGAGGGGCAGCACTGCCCAGGAAGGCGCCGGGAAAGCAGCAGAGGGAAGAGCAAAGCTGGGATTTACTCACACATGGGAAGGACAGATGGCTGCCAAGCTCCGCCGTGCCTTCAGCAGAGGGAGCAGGTCGGGAATAACGGCGTGGGATGCGGGATGCTCAGGCATGGGATGGTGGCAGCGTGGGATGCTCACGGCTGTCCTGGGACGCGGATCCTGAGCTCCTTCCCGGCTGGCAGCTCCCCTGGCTGCTCCCCTCACCCTCCCTGGGTAATCCTGAGGCCACCCAGAAGTTTTTCCATGCTGCCGAGGTGTCTGTGTTCCCACCCTTCTCCTTGTTTCCCTCATCCCTGTGCAGCTCCTGCCTCCTAACTGTGTTGAAGGGCTCTAATCCCAGCCTTGATGCAATCTCCACTGGGATGATGCATTGTCCAGACCCTCCAGGCCTTGCTGCTGGATTTTTTCTGGAAGCCAAATGCTTCTCACTCCATTAACCCTGTCCTGGCCTCCCTTTGGAGCTGGTGCCACTGGGCTTTGGGGGTCTCGGCTGCAGCAATAACAGGAAGCTGGGAGGGTCCTGGTGATGCCAAGCTTAGGATAAGGATCTTTCTCCCAGCAATCCCAACTTGATGTTCATTAAGGCCTTTAAAACATAATTAAATAATCATGGTAGTGGGAGAGGAAGGTTGGGGTTTGGGGGGACTGTCCTGTCAGGATCAGGACATGTCCTCTTGGAGGGAGCAAGGTTCCAGTCTCTGGATGTCTTGGAGGCCTCAGCAGCATGCCATGAAAAAGCAGGCATTTAACATGGAAATCCCCAGAGGGGGAGATTAAAGCCAACAGGTGCTGGGAAAATGTTTCTGCATATTAGAACTTAATTAGATTGGAAAATAAATTCCAGATGGGCTAATTATGCGTGAGTTGTTGCAGGTCCCTTCGTGCAGGGGCAGGATTGTGTTTGGGAAGCTGATTGGATCTGATTCCTGTCTCTTGTGGTATCACTGAGATCTAGAAGCAGGTTGGCTCTGGGGTCCTGTGATCTCCCAAAAAAAGGCTCCACAGCTCCTCCTGCTCCTGTCGGAGCTAGAGAGATCTGAGGCCACAACCTGTCATGTGCGAGGAGCAAAGATCCTTATCAGGATTGCCTTTCAAAGGCCTTCAAAGACTGGAAGGGAGATTTTTTAACAGAGGGAACAGTTCCTGGGGACAGGGGGTCGGGAAGGGGGGCTGTGCCTGGAGGGGAGCAGCGTGCTGGAGCCTGCTGGGGCGAGGTCTGGCTGGGAGAGGGGTGGTGCTGGCTGCTGCTCCACATAGCTGTGCTGTGTAAACACCAGGGAGAGCGGGGGAGTGGTGTTCTCCGGGAGAAAACACCGCTGGGAGAAAGGGGAGGGAGTCCTGCAGTCAGCCCTGCATGGTGCTCCCTGACTCAGCCCATGGAATGCTGCTCCCATCCCACACGGGAAGAGGAAGAGCAGGGCTTTGTCACTTTTGGGGGTGACAGCTCCAGATCCAGCTTCCACCACTGAGTGCCCATGGATCGTCCAGTACAACGTCCCTGCCTGGGAATTACGGGTGTATGATTTATGTGGGGCTCCATGAATGATTTATGCCACGTTAAGTGATGATTTAGGGAGAAAACACAACCCCCTCGTACGGAATCTTTAATGAAAAGTGTCAGTTCTCCAGGATTTATTTCCGAAGCGGCGTTTGAACCCGGCGTGTTTGACATCAATCACGTCTAATTGTCAGGTTATGATTAATGAACATATGCCGGCCGTTTGTCTGCCTAATTAAACTTTATGTTCCCTTCGTCTGGCAAAGCAAAACAAGTTTACGCCATGGGATGTGCTGGTTCCAAGGGTCTGGGTCTGAGGAAGTGCCCGGATTCCCAATTCCCAGATGAAGAGGTGGTTGAGGCACTCCTGGATTTGCAGAAAGGCAGGTTTGCCTGGGCCGAGGAGGCAGAGGTGACCTGTCCCTCTCTTTGAGATGGAGCTGCCACCTAAATGGCATCTAAAATCATGGAATGGTGGGATATCTGGTGTTGAAAGGGGTGCACAAGGATCAAGGAGTCCAACAAGCCCAAGAATCCCACCTTTACACTCCGTGGATAATTCCAAGCCCCTCTCTAGTGGGAGACAAGCCCAAGGTGGTTTGTGACTCTGCTGTCTCTTGGCTCACAAGGAGACAGAGATCCTGATTCCAGAGATGCTGGAATTACAGAGATCTCCATCCCCAGGGAGCAGCAGGGAATTGGGCAGCCCTGCACCACCCATCCAGGCTCTTTTCCACACCCTCACTGATCTGCCCAGAGCACAGGATTCTGCATGAGCATCTCCAGGGCAGGATCCCTCGGGCTTCACACCACTTCCATGCTCAGGAATAATCCAGCTCTTTTTCTTTCAGGACATAGACAAGTTTGGGAATGAGATCACCCAGCTGGCTCGCCCGCTCCCGGTCGAGTACCTCATCATAGACGTGAGTATTCCCTGCACATGTTTGCTTCCCAAGGAGATGGTCACGGGGGAGCAAACCCCTAACCCACCTCTGAAATTCCCAGTGGAGGGGATTCCTGAGACAGATCATCCTCCTCTGCCTGCTGCTGCCAGGCATTCCTAGCAGGGAGGTGGCTGCCCTGCTCCGTGGGGTCGGTGTGGTGCCAGGAACACGTTTGTTTTCAGGGAAAACACTGCCTGCTGCCTTATCAGGGCTCTGAGCTGGCCCAGAGCCACGTGGCTGGGAAGCAGCAGCCCCACGGACCCGTGTCCCGGGCACTGCCTAATGAGGAAACTCCAGAGCAGCAATTAGGGATCCATCTCCTCTGAGTGACTCAGCAGGTTGTCCAGAAATGCCTTTTCTTGGAGGAGGGAATTCACTCACTGGCAGGGTTTGGCCGGAGCAGAGGAGCAGAGCTGCTGCCAGGCACGGCACAGCTCAGCCCCCGGGGCTGGGAAACAAAGTTACGGCGTGGAAGGCAGGAAAGCAAATAATTGGGATGCCAGATGATACTGCTGGAGTTGGAGGTGGTGCCAACAACCATTAGATCCACCTGGAGCAGCCTCTCAGGTCCAGCTGCCCCTGGCACAGGCAGTGCCAGAGCACAGGAATTCCTGCAGGAGTGAAGGCACCTGTTCCTGGGATGCCTGGGGTGTCACTGGGATGAAAACAGAGGGTTGGAACATGCATTAGGATTCCCCCAGGACCTCCCTCCAGCAGCAGCTGCCTGGCACAGAGCACAGCTATGCCAGGACTGCTGTGTCCCAGTGACCTGTGCAGAGAGGGATGCTCTCCATGGCATCTGTCAAGACCAAACCCATCATGTCCCTCCAGCTCCCTTAGAAAGGGAGCCAAGGGCTGTGGTGATGGAATATCACTTTAAATTAAATTAAAAGCCATCAGATCCCTGCAGGATGCCTCACTGTTTGGCTGAGCTGGGACCATAGCCTTGGCTGTTCTCAGCTAGCTGGATTTGCTTCCCATATCCCACTGTCTCTGATCATCCTTCCTTGAATTTTTTCTTTTTATTTTAGATTACTACAACTTTCCCCAAGGATCCAGTCTACACTTTTTCTATTTCTCAAAACCCATTCCCCATCGAGAACCGCGATGTGCTGGGAGAAACTCAGGTGAGGGGACATTCCTGACAGAGCTGGGTTCCCTGGGGAGGGGCTCTGCCTCCTTGTGCTCACTGACATCTGCAGAGGGACAGCTGTGCCCTCAAGTCACCCCCTCCTGGCTCAGCCTGCCTGTCCTTCCTGCACAGAGCAGTGTCTGCATGCCAATGCTGGCTGCTCAGCTCAGGGCTGAGCTCCTGCCACATCCACGATGGGATCAGGGCTCCCTTTGCCTGCCAGGCAGCTCCAGAGGGGCCAGGGGGCTCCAGCCCCATGGTGACAGCACAAACCTGAGAGACTGGGCTCTGTTCCTGCTCCCAGAGTGCTGCCTTCTCTTCCTGAATGGAATCCTTAAGCACAGAAAGCTGTTCCTGAAAAAGGTCAAGGCAGAGGATGGGATGGTGTGGGATGGGCTGTCCTCTTTTCCCTCTTTTCTCTAGGAACAAGGCTGGAGTTGCCTGGCTCCCCTCAGCACCTCTTGGGTCTGAGATCAGCTCTGTGGGTGCTGGGGTTGGTCAAGAGGAGCTCCTGTGGGCCCAGAGATCACTTTTCCTGGAAGTTGTTAGCTGGGATTCAGTCAGCCGGGCAGGGATCTGATTTTGGGAAAGTCCCTGCACATTGCAGGTGATAGCCAGAGGAACAGGAATGTCTGTTAGTGGATCTAAGTAGGAACTGACTTCTCTTCATTACTGTCCCCTCTCCCCAGGACTTCCACAGTTTGGCCACGTACCTGTCCCAAAATACTTCCTCCATTTTCCTAGACATCATTTCCGATTTCCATCTGCTCCTCTTCCTGGTCACAAACGAGGTCATGCCTCTGCGGGTACGTACCGGGGCTGGGAGGGTCCTGTCCCCACACCATCCCCCCATCCCAGGGCCCTCAGCCCCTCCAGGGGTCCCTCAAGAGGGTGGAGGTGACCATTCCTGCCATCCCATGACCCTGCACAGGGCCTTGTGCTGGCTCTTCCTGACCAAGCTGTTGGGAGAAGGTTTAAAGAGTTTTAAAACCTTTTTTAAACTCTAAACACAAAGCCCCTGAGCTGCTGGGAGCACTGAGGGGGGTTGTTGTCCACATGATCCCAGAGCCAACTTGGCTGCGGCTCCCAGAGCTGGAAATGTTTTAAAAATTATCTCAGAATCAGGAATTTGGTGGGAACAGTGAGGAGATGAGAGCCCCCAAGCTGAAGGCCAGCGAGGTCCTGGCTGTGCAGCTCTGCTGCCCTTGGCCGGGCACTGGGGGCCTGGCGGCTGCCCCGGAGCTCCCGGTGAGCTCCAGCTGGGCCGTGTTTGCTGGGCCGTGTCTGCCAGAGGCTGCGCGTGCGCGAGGCAGCCGGGATGACCGTGGGCAGCTGGAGATCAGGGTGGGAACGGGGATGGGGCTGGAGTGCCCCAGCGTGGAGGGATTGCACCTCTGGAAGGTGGGACTGGCTCGCAGTGCCCGGGCCCTGGCCCACAGGGGTAGGGAATACCTCTTGGAAGCTGAGGAAAGGAGCTTTTGGGGTGTTGGGATCTGTCTGAATGCTGGGGAGCAGAGGGATAAACTGGGGCAACTCCAGGATGTTGGGAAAGGGGGAACAGCTCAGATTCAGGGTCCTGCCTTGCACTGGAGGGGCCCCCAGTGCTCATTTCCCACCTGTGACTTCCAGGACAGCATCAGTTTGTTGCTGGAAGCCGTGAGGACTAAAAATGAGGAGCTTGCACAGACCTGGAAAAAATCCGAGCAGTGGGCAACCATCGAGCAGCTCTGCAGTAAGAGGGGGGCCCTGGGGCAGGGTGTCCCTCAGGGAGGGGGGTCCCTTGTCCCTTGGGAGCTGCTCCAAGCTGCCACAGAGGCTGCTGGAGGCTCGTGGGGAGGAGGCTGTTCCTTGGTCATGGGATCCTGGAGTAGTTTGGGTTGGAAGGGACCTTGAAGCTCATCCCACCCCGCTGCCATCTTCCAGGTGGCTCCAAGCCCCACCCCAGCTGGCCTGGAGCACTTGCAGGGCTGGTGAGGGGGCTGCAGGGTGGGGTGTGCAGCGGGCTCCCAGCACTGCCCCGGCTCTCTCTGCAGGCACGGTGGGTGTCCCGCTCCCGGGACTGCAGGAGTACGGCGCCATGGGGGGCTCGTCGCACGCCGTGGCCGCGGCCATGTGGCCCTGCCAGCACTGCACCTTCATGAACCAGCCGGGCACGGACCACTGCGAGATGTGCAGCCTGCCCCGCTCCTAGCCCCGCTCCTGCCCGGAGCCATGCGGAGCGGCGCCTGTCCCTTCCCTCTCCTCCCTTCAGCTGCCAGCCCGGGCTGCGGAGCCGGGCGCGGGTGGCTCCAGCCCCCCGGTTACTCCTCGCTCCCTTCTGGGGGCTCCCAGCCCGGAGAACCAACGCTTTCCTCAGCCCGTGCCTGGGCTGGCCCCCCACCACCCTCAGCTGCTGCCAGCCTGCTCTGGGGGAGCTGGGGGGCTTAGGGAGCTGCCCGTGCCCGCTTCCTGCCCAAGGGGAGAGGGAGGCTTTGGCATCTCCCTGCCCACAGCTTTGCTCTCATTCCCTGCCCGCCCGAGTGCCTGGATCCTGGCACTGACCAGCCCCCGTGGCACGGGCAGGTGGCTGTCACGTTCCCAGAGCAGGACAGGCACCCCTGGACACCGAGCGTGGGGTGGGCACGTGCCAGCTCGTGGCTTGGCACTGCTTGGTGAGCTTTGGCACCCCGTGGGGGCCGCGGGAGGGCCGTCCCCTCCGGGTGCCATGTCCCCCCACTGTGCATGGTTGGGCTCCCAGGGAAGGGTTGCGGGGCAGCCACGTAACTCGGGCACCCGCCTCGCTTCCGTCGTGCCCTGGGAGCCAGTCCTCCAGTTGGTGCCTTCCCATCCCTCCGGAGTGTGTCCTGGCCGGAGCTGGGGCTCGGGGGTGTTGCCTCCCTGCAGCCCCCAGCTGGGGCTGTCCTGGGCACTGCTGCGCAGGGGAGAGGGGCAGCTGGGTGCTGGAGGGGCTCAGCCCTCCTCTCACAGGGCCTCTGCCCCCCAGGCCCATCCTCGAGCTCCCCAGCCCTGGCTCCGCCAGCTCTGGTTCAATCCTGGGGGCACCAGTTCCAGCACTGCCCTGTGTCCCCTCATGGCAGGGGTGCAGAGGGCCTGTCCTGCTCCAGGACAGCACTGCCCAGACCCCAGTGGGCAGGGACCCCCCGCCCCTCGCTGGGGCTTTCCAAAGGCTTCATCCCAAGGCCCGGCTCCGGGCTGCGGTTGCTTTTCCCCTGGGTGTGCTGGGGTTTGGGGGTGCAGCGCTGGGAGCGCCCGGGCCGGGCTGGGCTGACCCAGGCGCGGGGGCTGCAAGTAACGTGGAATAAAAGCACCTCAAACCAGAGCCTCCTGCACTCTGTCACCTCTCCCGGGGTGCTCCACATTCCCAACAGGAATGGGGGAATGCTGCACCCCATGCGTGCCTCCCTACCTGGGGGAGGATAACCTCAGGATTATCACTTGGGGGGGTCTCTGGGTGGGGGGGTTCAGGGCTGGGATGCTCTGTGTTCCCAGTGGAATCCGGGGGACCCTGTGTCCCACCACTGTCTCCAGCACTGTCACCTTGGGTGGGGTGGGATGCTCTGTGTTCCCAGTAGAATCTGGGGGACCCTGTGTCCCACCACTGTCTCCAGCACTGTCACCTTGGGTGGGGTGGGATGCTCTGTGTTCCCAGTAGAATCTGGGGGACCCTGTGTCCCACCACTGTCTCCAGCACTCTGTCATCTCGGGTGGGGTACTCTGTGTTCCCAGTAGAATCTGGGGGACCCTGTGTCCCACCACTGTCTCCAGCACTCTGTCATCTTGGGTGGGGTGGGATACTCTGTGTTCCCCATGGAACCCTGTGCCCCAGCACGGTGCCACCTCTGCTGTCCATCCGTGCCAGGATGGGACCAGGATGCTCCGTGTTCCCACCTGGAACAGGGGGCACAGCCCCGTGCCTCTCGTGCTTTGTCACCTGCCGGGACGCTCTTCAATCCCAGCGGCAGCCGGGGGACCCCGCTCCCGGGGCCGTGCCACCTGCACTCCATCACCGCGACGGGCCGGGACGCTCGGCATCCCGCCGGGCCCGTGTGTCCGGGCCCGTGTCCGCCGTCTGTTTGCAATCAGCCCCGGAGCCGCGTGCGGCCGGGCCCGCTGCCAGCCCCAGCCTGGAAAAGGGGGAGCGGGAGCGGCGGGAGCCAGAGCCGGGGAGCGCAGCGCGGCAGCGGCACCGCGGAGGCGGCACCTGCCCTGCCCGGCCGGGGGACAGCAGCCGCAGGGACGCGGGGCCATGGCCCGGCTGCTGCCCGTGCTGCTGCTCGCGGCCCTGGGCTGCGCGGCGCGGCGGCCGGCGGCGTGGGACGGTGGAGCAGACGGTAATGCACAGCCGGGACCCTTCCCCGCGGGGCTGGGCCAGGCTCCTGCCCCGGGGGCTGCTCGTGGTCCCAGCCCGGCCCCTCCAGCCCAGAGACCCCCGGCCAGGGGCTGCGCCAACCTGACGCTGGTCCTGGACAACTGGAAATTCGCCATCACGTCGCAGCTGAGGAACCTGCTGCTGTCCGACCACCAGACCGTGCTGCCCGACTACGGCCGGTGAGGCCCGGGGGTCCCGGGGGGGTATTTGGGGGTCGCCGCCCTCACGGCGCTCGCCCGCAGGATCCCGGCGCTGTCGGGGGCTCTGGACGAGCTGTACCGGGATTTCCGCGGCCTGAAGGAGCAGCTGGGCCGGCTCTCGGAGCGCTTCGCCCACCTGGAAGCCTCCGTGGAGCAGCTGAGCCGGGCCCGGGGCGCTGCGGCCCCGCCGCGCCGGGGAGGGGTCCCGCCGAGCCCCCGCAGGGCTCCCGGGAGCCCGCAGTGAGCGACCGGGCCGGGCCGGGCCCAGCCGGGCTGGGGACATGGGGGACATCGCTTGGGGGGCTCGGAAAAACGGGGGGCAGACACATCGCTGGGGGGCTCAGGGTGGGAGGCCCAGGGTTATCCCTTGGGGGTCTCAGGGTGGGGGGCTCCGCGTCATCGCTTGGGGGACTCAGCCCGACTTTTGGGGGGTCCACCCCCGTGGGTCAGGGTCAGCTCGGGGGGGTCTCTGCCCCCCTCGGGGGTCGCACCCAGCCCCTCTCTCTATCAATAAAGCCGCTGCGCCAGCACCGCCTCGCTCCTTACTCCCCCCGTGCCGGGATGGGGGGGTCTCTCACGGGGGGTTCCTCCCGGTACCCCCCCCGTGCCGGGATGGGGGGGCTCTCACGGGGGGGTTCCTCCCGGTNTGGGGTTGGGGGGGGTCTGGGGGGTTTGGGATTCAAGGACTGTGATCTGGAAGGGGTCTGGGGGGTCTGGGGTACAAGGTCTGTGATGTGAGGGGTCTGGGGTGGGTCTGGGGTACAAGGACTGTGATGTGGGGGGTCTGGGGTACAAGGACTGTGATCTGGGGGCATGGGGGGGCTGAGGCTGATGCTTGGGAGGGGGCTGCTTGTGGGGCTGAGGGTCTCATTCGGGGGGAAGGGGCTGTGGGGCACAGGGCTGTGTCACCACACCCTGCCCACCGCTCGGGGGTCGCGGCTCAGCCCCTCACAGCCCCCTCCCCACGCGCCAGGCCGGCACCATGGCGCAGGTGGGGCACAGGGTGGATTACCTGGCCGGATTCTGCTGCCCGGTGGGGGGGCTGGTGGCGGGCAAGCCGCGGGTGCTGTGCCACGAGAACGAGATCTACCTCTCCAACGGCACCGAGTTCGTCTATGTGTATGACCAGGAGGGCAAAGTGCTCAAGGTGAGGGGCTGGGCAGGGTGGGGTTCACTGTGCCCCATCCCCTGGGGACAGCCCTTGGGCATGCCCCCACTCCCTGTCCCTGGATTCCCTCCAACAAGCAAACCCTACAAGCAGCACCCCTTGCCCTGGGGTTTGTTGGGGTTTGGGGCCCCTCTCGCAGTCCTGTGGGACACACATTGGCTCAGACTCCACAGGTTCATTTCCCCCAGCACAGGGGCTTCTCTCTGTCTCTCCCCCGAGGCCTGGCTGCTGTCCCCGCTGTCACAGCGCCCTGACTGACACGCTGCTGCCTTTGTTAATTTGTTCTGATTATCATTTCTAAGAAATCCACCGCTGTAAGAGCGGGATCTGCCTCCCACACTGCGCTCCCGCTCGGCAAAGTAGAGCACGTACCCTGCTCCCTGTTTTCCTTCCCCTCAGGGAGCGGCAGTGACAGGCTGCCTCAGCCCCTCTCCCAGCCCCCTGCCCGGGAACACCCAGCTGGGTGCTGCCCAGGCATCCCTTTGTCCCTGGAAATGGCTTTGGATCTCCCTCTGCAGGGCACCGCCTGTCCCCGCCACCCCTGCGGTGCCGTGGGAGGTGACATTTGGTTGTGTCCCCCCTGCCAGGCCGTGTTCCGCTGCCCCGACCAGGTGTGGCACGTGGAGCTGCTGCCCCAGCCACGGCAGCTCTACATCCTGTGCGCCCACAGCGGGATCTACTGCGTGTCCCTGGAGCAGCAGGGCAGGTGAGCGGGGCTGACCCCATCCCCGGGCTGCCCCGCTGCCGTGCCAGCCTCTGGATCTGCCAGTGCCGCTGCTAAAAGCTCTCCTGCAGGAGCTCACTGCCCAGGGCCAGGCAGAGAGGCGGCCAAGGCGCACGCTGGCTTCTCCCCACGGCTTGGCTCAGAGCTCTGCCCTGCTTTCCCAAAGGTTAATGGAGCAGACGGACGGCGACGGCCAAGAAGGCAACGGCCCTTCCGGCGTGTTCCCGGTGGAAGCGGACGCCTGCATCTTCCCCGACGCCAGCCTGAGCATGTTCACCCTGCTCAGCACCTTCGTCATCACGCTGGCCCAGGACGAGGGCAAGTGGTGGATGCGGCTGCACGAGCTGCCGCGGCCAGAGCAGGACGGGCCCCCGTACCGGCAGGTCAGCCAGGTGGAATTCTGCCCCGGCAGCGCGCCCGGGGACGCGGGGGACGCGCCGCCCTCCTGCTTCCTGCCCGTGCTGTGCTGCGCGGCTGCGCCCGGCACCCAGGGGCTGTGGTGCTCGGGGGGCTTCGTGCTGGAGGAGCCCCTCTTCAGCCTCCTCTTCGGCATCGACGTGGCCATGCTGGAGTCGCCCATGATCCTGTGCGGCTTCCCGGACGGGCAGCTCTGCTCCGTGCCCCTCAAGGCCCTCAGCTCCTCGCCCGCCGCCGACGGCTGCCGCGACGTGTCCACACCGGCGCCGCCCGTGAAGATCCTGCACCACCTGGAGGAGCCCATCGTGTTCATCGGGGCGCTGCGCACCGAGCGGCGCGCGGCCGACGCCGACGACGCCGACGACGACACCGAGCCGCCCGCGGGCGAGCCCGGCTGTGACTGCGTGGTGGCCGTGGGCCACTACGGGAAGATGGTGGCCGTGAAGGCGGATCAGCGGGAGGAGGCCACGGTGCCGGAGCTCAGGGAGTATTACCTGCGGGGGCCCATCCTGTGCGCGGCCTGCGGCAGCGGCTCCCGCATGTACTACAGCACCCACTCGGACATCTCGGCCGTCGACCTGGACTGGGCAGGAGACTCCTCGGACCCCGAGGACACGGAGAGCGGCGCCGGCGTGCTGCCCCCCGTGCTGTCCCCAGCCAGCCTCAGTATCTGTAGCGTCGTGGCTCTTTCCTTGTCCTCTCGGGCCTCGGAAGGTACTGGGGGCAGCGGGGTGGGAGCTCGCCTCTCCTCTCTCCAGCTCCATGTGGGTTGGGGGGGCTCCATCTTTCATCCTTGTTGGCTCGTCTTGGTTTTGTCAGTTGTTCCTGTCCACTGTGATTCCTGCTCTTCCCTGCCCATTCCCAATCCCTCAGCTTGGCATTGCAGGAACTGGCCAGCCCTGGCAGCTGTGGGCTCCCTGCATGGGGCAGCCTGGGACAGCCCCAGGCCAGCTCGGATCAGGCTGCCTCCAAAAAGGAGGTTTTGGACTGGCTGCCCACAGAGCCTGTGCCACCAGCAGCTCCCCTGTGTGACAGCTGGGTGCTGCTGGCCTTGGCTGGGGAGAGGCAGGCACAGGGTGCTGTCCCCTCTCGGGGGTCTGTGTCAGTGGGGTGTGCTGTGGTGATCCATGTCTGTCTCCATCATATGCCACTGCCGTGGGGAGGCAGTGCCAGGCTGCTCCCTGTCCACCTCAGCCATCCAGGAAGGCCCTGCTCCCCTCCTGGCCCCTGACCCGCCCCGTCTGTGCCCGCAGGGGAGTCGGAGCTGCTGGCCCTGTCGGCCAAGGGCCGCCTGGTGTCCTGTGGGCTGTGCAGCCCCGAGGAGCCGGACGTGGAGCTGACCCCTGCTGAGATCGGCCGGAGGATCAAGGAGCTGCTCTCGGGGATAGGGGACACCTCAGAGAGGTAACGGTGGCACCAAGCTCGGGGTTGTGCAGGTCGTTGCCCGTAATTAATTATGGAATCATAGAGTGGTTTGAGTAAGATGAGCTTAAAGCTCATCCCATTCCTCCCCCGTGGGCAGGGACACCTTCCACTATCCCAGATTGCTCCAAGCCCTGTCCATCCTGGCCTGGGACACTTCCAGGGATCTAGGGGCAGCCACAGCTTCTCTGGGCACCCTCTGCCAGGGCCTCGCCACCCTGAGAGAGAACAATTCCTTCCCAATATCCCATCTAACCCTGCCCTCTGCCAGTGGGAAGCCATTCCTCTTTATCCCTCACTCCAGGCCCTTGTCCAAAGTACCTCTCCAGCTCCCTTGGAGCCCCTTTAGGCACTGCAAGGGGCCCTAATGTCTCTCTGGAGCCTTTTTTTCCCCAGGCTGAACACCTCCATCTCTCCTGGAGCTTTTCTCTTGGAAAGCAGCTCCATCATTTACCTTTCCTGGCTGGGAAGCCCCCCCACCTTGATAATATAAAACCAGTGTTTGAGGGCAGCCCCCTCCCATGGCACAGCCACCCCCAGCGCTGTGGGCGGGCTGGCAGCGGCAGCCATGGCAGCAGAAGGTGGCACAGGCAGGGTGCCAGGCGGCTGCCACGCGTGCCAAGCCAGCAGTAACAGGCAGGGCAGGCGCATGCCTCCATCCTCCGTGGCTGGCTGTGTGTGGGGAGGGGCTGTGGGTGAGCCCCCCCCTCCATCCACAGGGGAATTCCTGAGGTCTGGCTGTCCAGGGTGAGCTCTGACGGGAACATGGATCTGGGGCTGCCATGGCAGAGAAGCTGGGGGTTTCCTGCGGTGGGATCATGCCAGGAGCAGCTCAGCTTGGCAGCATCCTGGCATCCCTCCCGTTGTTTCATCCCTGTCACATTGTCCTTGCAGAGTGTCCTTCCTGAAGAAGGCCGTGGACCAGAGGAACCGGGCCCTGGCCAGCCTGAACCAGGTGATGAACGTGAGCGCGGCGCTGCTCTCCAGCCACGAGGGCCACAAGCCCATCGCCTGCACCGTCACTGCCAACTGGAGCTGCCTCCTGCTCCAGGACACCGTCACCATCTCCTGCTTGCTGGAAAACTGCAGCGAGTACAGCCTGGAGGAGGGCTGGACCCTCTGTGTCCAGCTCCTGACCAGCCCCTGTGCCTTAGAGGAGGAATCCATGGATTCGGCCACCACCTTCACCTTCCCCATTGACCAGCTGCTCCCTGGCAACAAGCGGGAGCTGACGCTGCCCCTCGGCCCCGCTGCGGACACCAAGCTGGACCTGCCTCTGACCATCTCCTGTGCCCTCTACTACAGTTTACGGGATATTTTGGGCAGTGGCTCCGACTCCTCCGAGGACCTGGATGACTTCCTGCCCGACGACTCGCCCCTGCTGTCCCCGGACAGAGAGGGGATCTGCCTGCCCCTCAGCCAATGCACCATTGACATGCTCCAGTGCCTGCGTTTCGGGAGCAGCCCCCCCGGGCCCAGCGCCCCCCCTGCCCCCTCAGACCCTGTGGAGACCTTCCTCAAAGTGTCCCGGGAACAGACTGAACCCGAGGAGGGGAAAACCCCGGGAGAGGAGAACCTGCCCCCCTGGGCAGCATC